CTTTAAAAGTCTGCCCTTTAAAACTCTGATCCCTGAGTGCTCTGGGAGACCTATTTAAGAAATAATAAAACTCTGGTCTCCTGCACAGCCAGCTCTGTGTGAATTATTCTTTCTCTATTGCAATTCCTTTGTCTTGATAAACTGGCTCTATCTAGGGAGCCACCAAGGTGAACCCATTGGGTTGTTACAGGAACAGGAACTTGAAAAACAAAAGTGGCCAGGCATGGTGGCTCAAGAGATCTTCTCACCTCAACCTTAAAAAGTGCTGAAATTACTGGCATGATCCCCGACACCCAGCCCAACTATTTTTAAATTTTTTTTTACAGGCAGGGTTTCTCTAAGTTGAATAGGCTGGTCTCAAACTCCTAGACTCAAGCAATTCTATTGCTTCAGCCTCACAAAGTGCTAAAATTACAGGCATGAGCCACCATGCCCGTCCTATACTAAATTCTTTAGAGTTAAGAAGCCCCACATTGGCTCTTTTTTCAACCTTGAAGAATTTTGCCATCAAATTTGTCCAACTAATGCATCTTCATCCCTCACATTCCACCTGAAATGTCACTTCACCAGGAAAGACCTTGCTGAACCTAAATTGGTAGGGTGGGACACAATCCCTCAGGGTGGGAGAGACCCACCCACTCACCCGCTGAGATAAAAACTAATCCAAAAAGGTGTTTGTTTTTCTTTCAAAGGTAGCCAGTTCTCCACGACTCCACCCTGTGACCCCAGGCTATGGGAAGCAGCTGACCTTGTGAATCTCTCCCCTCCCTCACCATCTGGGAGGGGACGCTGTGCTGGTGAAGCTTTTAAAACCAACTTGCAGCCTTATTTTGACCCTCAAGTTGCTCATAAAACTTTTTTTTAATTGTATGAATCTGAAAAGATACCCAGGGAAATTAAATGTTAGTTGGAGCCAACACAAGCCTGATTACGGAAGAGACCGCCCCAGCACTCCTCAAAATCTTCACTCTCCCTGCACCCAGGACACTGAACATGCACAGGCCCTTCCCTCCCTTTTTCCATTTCCACTGGAACCGCCAACCACGGAGCAGGCTGACCCCCAGGCAAAAAGCTGAGAACTTTGCAAAGGTCTTGTGAAACATTCAGACTCCTGGTCCCAGCATTGTACAGTTAGAATAGGGGTGGTGGGCCTGCAAAAATTAAGCTTTCAAGATTATAATCTGAATTAGGGTTTATGAAATGGTATGTTATCTTCAAAGAATTGCTGTGTGTGTTTGGGAGTGGGGGCGGGGAGTTAAGGAAGTGAAGTGGTAGTTGTCATTTGAGAACCCACCACCCTACATCGCCTGCATCCTCCAATCCATGGAAGCGTCCTTTAATGTTCACAAAAATCTTTAAGGTATGGATTATTATTTCAAATGTGTAGATGAGGCAGTTTAGGTGTAAGCATGTTAAGAATCATCCAGAAGGACCATGGTTGAAGCTGAGAGCTTCAAATCTGCCACAGGTTTTATTTATTCTCCAAATAAGTTTGAGACATATTTCCACCAAGAAGCTGACAGTGCCATGGGGGATTTGGATACATTAGGTGAAGAATTGCAAAATTAGTTGTAAAATCAAATCTCAACTATGATATTCAACATAATGGGAATCTAGGCAAAGAAACTTGGAGTAGTTTGTGGATTTTTTTTTTCTTTTTGAGACAGGGTCTCACTTTGTCACTCAGACTGAAGAGCAGTGGTGCCATCATAGCTCACTGCACCCTGGCACTCCTAGACTCAAGCAATCCTCCTGCCTCAGCCTCCAGAGTAGCATGCACCACCACACCTGTATATTTTTTCTTCTTTTTGTAGAGGGGAGGATCTGGCTATGGTGCCCAGGCTGGTCTCAAACTCCTGGCCTAAAGTGATTCTTCTTCCCTGACCTTACAAAGTGCTGGGATAGCAGACTTGAGCCACCATGCCCAGCTATGGACTAGAATTTTTTTCGGCCTCCCAAAGTGCTGGGATTACAGGCTTGAGCCACTGCGCCCGGTCGATTTTTTTAATAATAGGAGTTTGGTGTGGCACGGATTCAAGATATTCCAAAGATTTTTTTTGTTTCTCTTGTTTCTGCTGACTGTAATGATAGATATTCTGTTTATAGAGAGCACCTTTGACAAAATTAAAGGGACCACAAGTAAATTGGCATAAAGCTTTTTCGAAGAAGTATAATTCTTCAATTCCCATATGATAAAAGAATTTCCTCATTGAAGATTTTTTTTTTTTTTTTTTCTTTTTGAGAAAGAGTCTCGCTGTGTCTCCCAGACTGGAGTGCAGTGGCATGATCTCAGCTCACTGCAAGCTCCACCTCCCAGGTTCACGCCATTCTTATGCCTCAGCCTCCCGAGTAGCTGGGACTACAGGCGCCCACCACCACGCCCGGCAAATTTTTTGTATTTTTAGTAGAGATGGAGTTTCACCGTGTTAGCCAGGATGGTCTCAATCTCCTGACCTCGTGATCCACCCGCCTCGGCCTCCCAAAGTGCTAGGATTACAGGCGTGAGCCACCATGTCCAGCCTCCTCATTGAAGATTTAAGAGTAAAAAGTGAACCGTACATGTTTATGTGTATATATATATAGTTAACATAATACCATAAGAAAAATTTTAATTTTCATTAAATATTTATAGGTAATATATACATATCATGTGAAATATTTATATATAATATATACATAGCATGCTACTATAATACAATAAAAATGTTTATAATTATATAGAATTTTAAATATATATTAAAATATGTTTCTAAAGTACATAAGTATTGCTAAAAATTAAAATACATGAGCCAGCAAGGTTCTTTCCCATGTGGCTACCCCCAGCTTAGGTCCTGCTGAAGGCTCCATGCCTTTCACTGAGTCTCCCTCACCTGTACCCCTAAGGTGATTCTCACTGAGATATTCTGTTCCCAGCAAAGGCTCAGAGATGCCCTGTGTGCACCAGTCAAAGGTTCACTGAGGATTGTGAGCTCCTTGTGTCCTTGCAGAACAGATTCGTGGTCCTCCATCCAGGGCACAACACAATCCATCTTTTCTTTTTCTGTTTTGAGTCAGTCTCGCTCTGTCACTCGGGCTGGTCTTGAACTCTGGGCCTCTAGCGATCCTCTCCATTTGGTCTTCCAAAGTGCTGGGATTACAGGCTTGAACCACCCGCCCAGCCTTTGGTTTAATGTTACGGTGGAATCTGGCCCTATTCAGCCTTAAGCCTTTAGAGTTTCCTTTCCTTCCTACCATTGGTCAGACTCTAGATGCAGTCAGTGTCCTCCTTACTACAGCCTTTATCATCCTCTCTGATTGCATCTTCTGCACTAAGATGTGAAGATTTGAAGATTTCACTTGTCCCCTGTTCCTACTTCCCACTCTTCCATCAAATCTCAGACTTCATACAGGAGGGTATTTTTCTGGGAAGGTAGCTCTAAGTTTTTTTATTTACTTATTTATTTTATTGTTTTATTTTTTTGAGATTGAGCTCCACTCTGTTGTCCAGGCTGGAGTGTAGTGGCCCAATCTCGGCTCACTGCAACCTCCGCCTCCCCGGTCCAAGTGATTCTCCTGCCTCAGCCTCCCGAGTAGCTGGGATTACAGGGATGCACCACCATGCCCGGCTAATTTTTTGTATTTTTAGTAGAGATGGGGTTTCGCCACGTTGGCCAGGCTCATCTCGAACTCCCGACCTCAGCTGATCCGCGAGACTTGGCCTCCCAAAGTGCTTGGATTACATGCGTGAACCACCGCGCCTGGCCAAGTAGCGCTAAATTTTAAACAGAAAAGTGCGCCGGCCGGGCGCGGTGGCTCACACCTGTAATCCCAGCACTTTGGGAGGCCGAGGCAGGCGGATCACGACGTCAGAAGATGGAGACCATCCTGGCTAACACGGTGAAACCCTGTCTCTACTAAAAAATAGAAAAAAATTAGCCAGGCGCGGGGGCGGGCGCCTGTAGTCCCAGCTACTCCGGAGGCTGAGGCAGGAGAATGGCGTGAACCCGGGAGGCGGAGCTTGCAGTGAGCTGAGATCGCGCCACTGCACTCCAGCCTGGGTGACAAAGTGAGACTCCGTCTCAAAAAAAAAAAAAAAAAAAAAAAACTCCCAGCCCAGGATAAAAGTGAGACTCGTCTCAAAAAAACCCAAGAAAGCAATTTACATGGGGTGTCAGGGGGCCGACGCCCCCTGAGGAATTGATCTGGGTGGTAGAGTTAGAGTGCCTCTCAAAAAAAAAAAAAAAAAAAAAAAACCTGCTATGCCAATTCTATGATTTCTTCTGCAAATATTAGCCTCTTTCAGTGTCTTATTTACCAAGTTATAAGACTTAAGAGGCTCCTCACATTACTCATCCTTCAGCCTTGAAGATTTTACCCTCAAGTTCGTCCAACAAACTCATACTCGTCCCTTAAAATCTACTTTAAATATCAATTCCTCAGGAGAGACCTTGGTGAGTCTGAGTTGGTAGGGTGGGGCCTAGTCTCCAGGGTGGTAACTACGCAGCCTCTCAACCAGAGACGTAAACTGATTCAAAGAGCTGATTATTCCTCTTGCACGTTAAAACTAACCACCCTGGCCGGGCGTGGTGGCTCACAGCGAGGCAGGCGGATCGCTTGAGCCCATGAGTTCGAGACCAGCCGGGGCAACATGGCGAAACCCAGTCTCCACCAAAAAAATACAAAAATCAGCCGGGCATGGTGGCGCGCGGCTGTAAGGTGGGAGGATCGCTTGAGCCTGGATGGTCGAGACTATAGTGAGCCGAGACCGCATCAGACCCTGTCTCAAAAAAAAAAAAAAAAAAAAAAAGTTGCTCATAGGAATGAAAAATCTGAAAAGATGGCCATTGTGATTTAAATGACCTGCTGAAGCCATCAGGGCCCTCAGGACGGAGGGAGCCGCCCCAGGCTCTCCTCAGAATCTTCCCACTCTCCCTGCACCCTGGGGCATTGAGCATGCTCAGGCCCTTCCCGCCCACTTCCGGTGGAGCAGCCAACCACCGCGCCGGTCAATTGTGCGCCCGAAACTCGAAAACCAAGGCGCCCAGGGTTGTGTGGGGGTTCCGCGCTGCGTCCTGCGGGGTTCCATGGGTCCTGCACGGCCTCAGGCCTGAATCGCCGGTCCAGCTGCTCCAGGTAAGCTGGGAGGGCCGCAGGAAAGGCGCAGTAGGGCCTGGCGGGAGGCCTCCTTAACTGGGCAGGGGCTTCCTGAGTATCAACTGTGCCCACACCTCGGGGTCGCGACCTGTCCACGACTGAGCTCAGACTGTGGATTCTTTTTTTGTTGTTTTTGAGACGGAGTCTTGCTCAGTCGCCCAGGCTGGAGTGCAGTGGCGCGATCGCGGCTCACTGCAACCTCCACCTTCCGGATTCAAGCGATTCTCCTGTCTCAGCCTCCTGAGTAGCTAGGATTACAGGCGCTCTCTATCACACCCAGCTAATTTTTGTATTTTTAGTAGAGACTGGGTTTCTCCATGTTGGCCAGGCTGGTGTCGAACTTCCGACTTCAGGTGATCCGCCCTCTTCGGCCTTTCAAAGTGCTGGGATTACAGGCGTGAGCCACCGTTTTCTGTTTTAGCCGCGGAGGCGGTGGGACCCCGATGATTGAACTTTGATGAAGATTCTGATCTGAACGCTAGTTTGGGAAGTGGCCACGTGATCTCCAAAAATTATAGCGGGAGCGTTAAGGCGAAGGATCTACCACCCTACAGCGCCAGCACTTCTCTGGCGGATTTCGTCTCCTTCCGTCCTCACAAGGATCTGGCTGTTAGGAAACTGCTACGGATGAGAAAGTTTAGGCTCACTTAACGTTTCATATCATCTAAAGTAATAGAGGTTGAATCTGGAGAGCTGGGAATCTCCCACGGGTTTGATTCATTTGATTCATTTTGATTCAATTTGATTCATTGAGCCCGCACTATGGACTAGCACAAGAATCAGAGTAGGAGCCAGGCGCGGTGGTTCACACCTGTAACCCCAACATGAGGAGGCCGATGCGGTAGGATCACTTGAACCCAGGAGTTCTAGCTCACGCTAGTGCCTGGGCAACATAGTGAGACCCCTGTCTCTACAAAAAAAAAAAAAAAAAAAAAAAAATTCTGGGCATGGTGGGGCGTGCCTGTGGTCCCAGCTACTCAGGAGGCTGAGGTGCAAGGATCACTTAAGCCCAGAGGCAGAGGTTGCGGTGAATGGAGATCGCGCCACTGCACTCCTACCTTGGCAACAGAGTGAGATCCTGTCTCAAAAAATAAAATTAGGTAATAGAGGTTGAATTTTTCTTTTTTAATGTGACAAGATCTCAAGCAGTGAAGATTAAATTTTGAGAGCAGGGAATCTACCTCAGGTTTGATTTATTAGCCTAATAATTATTGAACACACACCATACACCAGCATAAGAATCTGAGTTGGTAATTCAGTTTTGAGGAAAACAAGGAAGAATTCAGACCTCGAACTGTACTCTCCAGTGTCCTTAACCAAAGGCTGACAAAAATAAATATAAAAATATCAACTATAATCTGCAGTATGATCGGATATGTGGAGCCAGGAAAAGAGTAAAGTCCAGATGTTGGTGAGTCTTGTAATACTTAAGAGTAAGAAAAGCCATTCCATTGGAAATCGGAAGGTTATAGAGTTAGATTTGTGTTTGGAAACTATAGAGTTATGGAATTGACTGAGGAGATAGAGCATGTCAAAAATAAAGCCAGACACTGGGTAGTCATAAGGACAGATTTTAATCAGTAATGTACTATTGCAATAGGGAGAAGAATTCAGCATGAACAGAACTCAACTGTGATTTGTACAGAGGTGACCAAGTGCTTCAAAGGGGAACTGGGGAATGAAGGTAGTGAGTAGGGGTTCAGTAGAGTCAGGGAAGTGAAAAATTACAAAAAGTGGGAAAGGGGTGGTTGGGTCACGTGAAACACACCCAGGTTTGCTCCCTGGCACTTAAGGAAGTCAGGCCCCAACTCTCCCATAGATGCTGGAAGACAGGGGCCCTGTCTTCAGGTATCAGAAGATAGTTACTATAGTAGGCTAATGTTTATAGCTTGGACTGGGAAGAGTGGCTTACAATGCTGTTCTTTATAAACTTCATTGCCTGAGTCTGGAAGATGGGTTGGGGGAAGCTGGAATGTGTGGGGAAGGACAGACCATTGAGTTCCAGGATCTATGCAGGAATGTTCCCTGTACTTTTTTATTTTAAATGAAATATACTTTTTTTTTTTTTTTTTTTTTTAAATACGGGTTCTCACTCTGTCGCCCAAGATGGAGTGCAGTGGCGTGATCTTGGCTCACTGCAACCTCCACCTCCTGGGTTCAAGCAATTCTCCTGCCTCAGCTTCCCAAGGAGCTGGGATTACAGGTGCACACCACTACACCTGGCTAATTTTTGTATTGTTAGTAGAGACAGGGTTTCACCATGTTGGTCAGGCTGGTCTTGAACTCCTGACCTCATGATCCACCCCCCTCAGCCTCCCAAAGTTCTGGGATTACAGGCATGAGCCACTGCGCCCGTCCATGAAATACCCCTTTTTACAGCAATGTGGTTCTTTCTTATAATTTAAAAAATTCCTCAAGCCTGTAATCCCAGCACTTTGGGAGGCCGAGACGGGCGGATCACGAGGTCAGGAGATCGAGACCATCCTGGCTAACTCGGTGAAACCCCATCTCTACCAAAAAATACAAAAAACTAGCCGGGCGAGGTGGCGGGCGCCTGTAGTCCCAGCTACTCGGGAGGCTGAGGCAGGAGAATGGCATAAACCCGGGAGGCGGAGCTTGCAGTGAGCTGAGATCCGGCCACTGCACTCCACCCTGGGCGACAAAGCAAGACTCCGTCTCAAAAAAAAAAAAAAAAAAAAAAAAAATTCCAGTCATATTTTGCAACGTATTGACTGTACAGCTTTGTTCAGAATGCTTAAAACTGCCTCTTCAAATTTACCCAACCCCAAAGCATCCATTAAACATGGTGTGTTAAAATAAGGATTAGGAGCCTATGCAATGACATTGTTATTTATGAAAATGTTAAATTGGAAGGTGGGAAGAGTTAAAGGACACATTATTATTTTATTTTAATTTATTATTGAAAAATATTATAATTTTTAAGATGTAATAATACCTTACTGTCCCTTCAAAATTGGAATGTACATGACACTTTTGGCCCAACTACTGCTATAAGCAGTTAACACCTTTTCTAATTAGGAACAATGAGAGATACAGTAGTTTTAGACCTCAATAGCACTATAATATATATACTACAACAGTTAATGACATAAATGGAGGCAGTTTGACTAAATTTCTAAACGTTCTTTTCACTTGGAAATTTTATAAGATTTTGTAATAATACCTGTGTTAGTATCCCCAAGACCACCCCCGGGTTTGGTGATTTGCTAAAATGACCGCAGGACTCAGCATAGTATTATTTGAGGTTATAACCTAATTATTTTGAGATGACATCTCGCTCTGTCATCCAGATTGGAGTACACTGGCACAGTCATGACTTACTGAAGCCTTGAACTCCTGGGCTTAAGGCATCCTCTCACCCCAGCCTTCCGAGTGCTGGGACTATAGGCACACGCCATCATGTCTGGCTGATTTTTATAAAATTTTGTAGAGATGAGGTCTTGCTCTGTTGCCCAGACTGGTCTTGAATGTCTGGCCTCAATTGATCCTCTTGCCTCAGCCTCCCAAAGTGCTGGGATTACAGATGCGAACCACCATGCCTGGCCAACAATTATGGTTTATTATAGTGAAAGGATACAAAGCAAAACCAGCAAAGAAAACAGTGTGTGGGATGAAGTCTGGAAGAAACAGAGCATAAGCTTCCAAGAGTCATCTCTACGTGATGTCACACAGGACATGCTTAATTTCTCTGGAGACAAAGTTATGTGAGTGAACTGTTATCTACCAAGGATACTTATTAAAGATTTGTCTTTCTTGGCCGGGCACGGTGGCTCACGCCTGTAATCCCAGCTCTCAGGGAGGCAGAGGCGGGAGGATAGCTTGAGCCCAGGAGTTCGAGACCTGCCTGGGTAATATAGCAAGACCCCGTTCTCCACAAAAAGGAAAAAAAAAAAAAAAAAAAAAAAGACAAAGATTTGTCTTTCCAGAATTTTTCTTGAGAAGAGATCATGCAGGCTTCTCCACCTAGCTTATATCAAAATTCTAGTTTCTCAGAAGGAAAGCAGCTATTCATCATAAACCTCATTGTTTGTATAAACACTGTAGGTGTAGTTGTAGTAAGCCATTTTTTTTTTCTTTTTCTTCTTTTTTTTTTTAGACAGAGTTTTGCTCCTGTTGCCCAGACTGGAGTGCAATGGTGTAATCTCGGCTCACTGCAACCTCCACCTCCTGGGTTCAAGTGATTCTCTTGCCTCAGCCTCCCTAGTAGCTGGGAGTACAGGCATGCACAACCACACCTGGCTAGTTTTTGTATTTTTAGTAGAGACGGGTTTTCATCATGTTGGCCAGGCTGGTCTTGAACTCCTGACCTCAGGTGATCTGCCCGCCTTGGCCTCCCAAAGTGCTGGGATTATGGTGTGAGCCACGCGCCTGGCCAATAGTGAGCCATTCTTACAAGGGAATGGCAGGACCCATTTCCTTGTAAGTTCCTTATAAATTCTGGAAATCAAAGTTGCCAGACCTGAGCCAAGTAGCAGCCTTGCAAGCAGCCTTCTAAGGGTGCTCATTCTTCTGCACAATACCACTCGGTGAGCATCTGTTCTGGGTCAGGCACTGTACTATCCTTACATGGTTTTTTTCATTTAATGCTTTCAGCTTTCTGAAATAGAAACAAACTCAAAGAAATTAAATTAGTTGATCAATGACATATAGATCTAGGTAAGTGAATGTTGGAGTGAAACACCCATCCCATTAGAGACTGCTACCTAATAATTTGTGTGATATCTGTTTACATCATCTTGTGTGTTTTTTTAAAAAAAGTTTAAAAATCTTAATTTTCCCCTCGTTAGACTATTTGATATAGTAACAATTTGTGGATATCCATCTGGGTAGGTTAAACAGAACGCTATATGAAGCACTTTAATAAAGGTTTTCAAGGCTATGCACTAATGTGAATATGAAGAAAAGATGATGTGCTTAGGCCGGGCGTGGTGGCTCACATCTGTAGAGACTTTCTCATCTGTCTCACGTTGAGAGACTGAGGCAGGCAGATCACTTGAGGTCAGGAGTTCAAGACCAGCCCGGCCAACATGGCAAAACTCCGTCTCTACTAAAAATACAAAAATTAGCCGGTCATGGTGGCAGACACCTGTAATCCCAGGTAATGGGGAGGCTGAGGCAGGGGAATTGCTTGAACCTGGGAGGCAGAGATTGCAGTGAGCTGAGATCATGCCATTGCACTCCAGCCTGGGAGATAAGAATGAGACTCTGTCTCAAAAAAAAAAAAAAAAAAGAGACTGGGCACGGTGGCTCACGCCTGTAATCCCAGTTCCCAGCACTTTGGGAGGCTGAGGTGGGTGGATCACCTGACGTCAGGAGTTCGAGATCAGCCTGGCCAACATGGTAAGACCCCCATCTCTACTAAAAATACAAAAATTAGCTGGGCGTGGTGGTGTGCACCTGTAGTCCCAGCTACTTGAGGCTGAGGCAGGAGAATTGCTTGGCACTAGCGTGCCACCATGCCCAGCTAGTTTTTATATTTTTTAGTAGAGATGGGGTTTCGCCATGTTGGCCAGGCTGTTCTCGAACTCATGACCTCAGATGATCCACCTGCCTTGGCCTCCCAAAGTGATGGGATTACAGGCGTGAGCTACCATGCCCGGCCCAATCATTATATATTTACATTCCATGTTTGTAATTGAAGATAATAACCAAACTCTCAGGGTTTGGGATTTTACCTTACTCACAAGCTATTAAGTTATCCTGTTAATATTTAATGGATACTTTCAGAAGATATAACACTCTTGGATTGGAGACAAAGAACTTCATTACTCCTGGCACAGCTGGCAGCATGTGCATCATGCTGGTGTTGGTTCCCCATGCCTCCCAAGTCCCACAGAGGTGGTGCAGAGGGACCATGGTAGATGTCATACACAATGTAGGTTTACATCATAGCCAGTGAACCCCGAGCTTGGGAATCTATTTTTTTAGCAAACCTGTTCTTTGTCCCAAATTGATACTTTACGTCTTCTTTCAAGGATACTTCCTGCAAACACAACCATGAGAAATATCCTAGATAGAGTGGTCATAGTGAAATTTTTGGCCTAAATTTTGACCAGAGAGGTACACTCAGGGCCTATGACAGATCTCCTGCTTTGTTGTGAGGGTTTGATTAAGGAGATCGGTTATTTTGTGGAAAGCACTGTTCCTGACACATAGTAAACCTTACCAGAGAAGGAGACTTTTGAGCTGTTTCCAAATATCATGAGAGATCAGTCTTGGGGAAAAGGTGAGGAAAGGATCCTCTAGGTAAAGGAAATAGTGTTTGCAAAGATGAGACATTTACATAGAATGGTTAGATTCTGAACCCTACTAGATCAGAGGAAGATACAGCTGTGAGTCAGTGTATGTTAGAGAATGCACTTTCACCGGTCCCTTTCTACCATCCACATACTGACCTAGCACAGCCATTTAAGAGCACTCACATGGATGGCAGTGGCCAGAAGATCTGGTAAGTAATTCGGAGTCAAAGGGAAAAGGAATGAATTTACCTATATACTGGGATTACTTGCAGGTGTATATAGGAAGGCAGGACAAGTTCAGCCCAACTTCCTTTTCACAGTTCCTTCAGGACCCTAAGCCTGATGTAGCTGTGTGTTCTGCTGAAGTGTGTTGGAATGAAATGGGTCAGGAGATGTTAAAATGTGTGACAACTACATATAACCTGTTTCATTAATTCTTTTCGTTCTTTTTTTTGAGACATGCTCTGTCGCCCAGGCTGGAGTGCAGTGCTGTGATCTCGGTTCACTGCAACCTCACCTCCTAGATTCAAGTGATTCTCCCACCTCAGCCTCCCAAGTAGCTGGGACTACAGACAAGCACCACCACGCCCAATAAATTTTTGTATTTTTAGTAGAGATAGGGTTTCACCATGCTGGCCAGACTGATCTTGAACTCCTGACCTCCAGTGATCCCCCTGCCTTGGCCTCCCAAAGTGCTGGGATTACAGGTGTGAGCTAATGCGCCCAGCTCCTGTTTCATTAAATCTAAGATGAATGATTCTATTCATACTAGAATAATTCTGAAATGGGCTGAGTGCAGTGGGGCTCTCTTTTAGTTTTGAACAGTCTCCCAACCTAAATTTTATGTTTTATAACATTGACATTATTCTCTTTTTGTATTATTTTTGGATTTTATTCATTCATGTATCCACTTTGTTCATGATTCACTTTCTTGAAGGTCTTTACTGATTTTCTTTTTCTTTTTTTTTGAGACGGAGTCTCGCTTTGTCACCCAGGCTGGAGTGCAGTGGCGCGATCTCGGCTCACTGCAAGCTCCGCCTCCCGGGTTCACGCCATTCTCCTGCCTCAGCCTCTGAGTAGCTGGGACTACAGGTGCCCGCCACCTCGCCCGGCTAATTTTTTGTATTTTTAGTAGAGACGGGGTTTCACCGTATTAGCCAGGATGGTCTCGATCTCCTGACGTCGTGATCCGCCCGCCTCGGCCTCCCAAAGTGCTGGGATTACAGGCGTGAGCCACCGCGCCCGGCTAAGGTCTTTACTGATTTTCTACTACCTCCCTATGAATAAGGTAGACTAAGTACCCACTTCCAGTCTATCTCATTCACCAGCTAAGGCCAAAAGAGAAACAAATACCTGAAGAAAACAATCTCAGATTATGACTGAGTTCTATGAAAGTAAAGAGATGGGATAATGAGAGACTAGAGGGTGGGGTGGGAGGCAGTCAGATTGATGAGCAGCAGAGAGGAGTTGTGAGGTGACCCGAAGGAAAAGAGAGGTGTTTATAAGGATCATGACCCCTTCACCAGTAAATATTTAAGCATGTATTTCCTAAGAATGAGGACATTTTCTTTTGTAGCTCTGGTGCAGTTAGGAAATTCAGGAAGCTTAACTTTGATGTATTACTAATATCTAATAAAGAGTACATCCTCCATTTTTTCACTTTGTCCTATACTATCTACTTTATTACAACTTTTTTTTTTTTTTTCTCAGTCTAGAATCTAAGCTAAGAGAATGAATTGCTTTTTTTGTTCGTTTGTTTTTCCTCATATGTAAGGAAACAGGCTGGGCATAGGGGCTGACACCTATACTCCCAGCACTTTGGGAGGCCAAGGTGGGAGGATTGTTCAAAACCACCCTGGCCAACATAGAGAGACCCCCATCTCTACAAAATATTTTAAAAATTAGCTGGGCCTGGTGGCACAAGCCTGTGGTCACGGTTACTCTGCAGGCTGAGGCTGCAGAGAACCATGGTCATACCACTGCACTCTGGCTTGGAAGACACAGCAAGATCCTGTCTCAAAAAAAAAAAAACAAAAAAAACCCTGCTTTTTTTCCCAGCACTGTTGTCATTTGTGCTGTTGGGAACCATTTTCATGTTGAATCTTGTTTGATTTGGATTTCTTCACTGTTATATATACATACATACATTTTTATATATAATTTTATAGGTCAGGTGCAGTGGCTCACACCTGTAATTCCAGCACTTTGGGAGGCTGAGGCAGGCAGATCACATGAGGTCAGGAGTTCGAGGCCAGCGCGAAACCCCGTCTCTAACAAAACTACAAAAATTAGCCAGGCGTGGTGGCGGGCCCCTTAATCTCAGCTACTTGGGAGCATGAGGCAGGAGAATCACTTGAACCTAGCAGGCAGAGGTTGCAGTGAGCCAAGATTGTGCCATTGCACTCCAGCCTGGGTGACAGCGAAACTCCATCTCAAAAAATAATAACGATTGTATGTTATATACAATAGAATTTTATACGTAATACACAGTTACATATAGAATCTTATGTATTTTATATATATATTCTGCACAAGTTCTCCACAGATGGTAATGCTTTGCTCCCCATTGCAGGTCATCAGTTTGCCCCGTCATTGGCTAAGGTGGTATTCTTTACATTATAAAGGTACTTATTTTCTCTTTGTAATTAAAATATAATCCTAGAGTAAAATTTTGAGAATGTGAATATCATTCCCCCATAACATTTTACCCAGTAGTTTTTACAGTTAGTGATGATTCTTGCCTGAACCAATTATTATACTGTGATTCCAAATCCAGGAGATTTTGAAATTAAAAGTCTTTTCTCATCCACAGGAATGACTGCTGTATTATAACCTGTGGCTAGTTTATTGAAGAAGAAAATCATTACAGGTAGATTCAGATGGGCTGATCTATAATAGAGCTGTAAGCTTTGAATTATTATCCTCCAAGCGAACGAGCAGGGGACTAAACAAGACTCCAGTGGGTGCCATCAGCATGCCAGGCCAGTAAAACCTAAACCTGATCAATCTACAAGGTCCGGGAGGGGTATCCACTTCTCAGTGGGTTTGCGCTCTACGGAGGCCGGACAAGTTCAGCCCAACTTCCTTTTCACAGTTCCTTCACACTGACCAGAGGGAGCTTACCTTACGCGCTACCTTTGTTCACAGCTCGATGGAACTCGTGACGGCTCTGGTGAACCTCCAAGAGGAGTCTAGTTGTCCCATCTGTCTGGAGTACTTGAAAGACCCAGTGACCATCAACTGTGGGCACAACTTCTGTCGCTCCTGCCTCAATGTATCCTGGAAGGATCTAGATGATACCTTTCCCTGTCCTGTCTGCCGTTTTTGCTTTCCATACAAGAGCTTCAGGAGGAACCCCCAGCTCCGTAATTTGACTGAAATTGCTAAACAACTCCATATTAGGAGGAGCAAGAGAAAGAGGCAGAAAGAGAATGCCGTGTGTGAAAAACACAATCAGTTTCTGACCCTCTTCTGTTTGAAGGATCTAGAGATCTTATGTACACAGTGCAGCTTCTCCACTAAACACCAGAAGCACTACATTTGCCCTGTTAAGAAAGCTGCGTCTTATCACAGAGAAATTCTAGAAGGTAGCATTGAGCCCTTGAAAAATAATATACAACGAGTTGAAAAAGTGATAATTCTGCAAGGCAGCAAATCAGTGGAGCTGAAAAAGAAGGTAGAATATAAGAGGGAAGAAATAAATTCTGAGTTTGAGCAAATTAGATTGTTTTTACAGAACGAGCAAGAGACTATTCTTAGGCAGATACAAGATGAAGAGATGAACATTTTAGAAAAACTAAATGAAAACCTTGTAAAATTTTCAGATTATGTTTCCACGTTAAAACATCTACTGAGGGAGGTAGAGGGCAAGTCTGTGCAGTCAAACTTGGAATTACTGACACATGTTAAGAGTGTGCACCACAGTTATCAAAATCTAAAACGTCCTGAACTCTTTTCATTCAGATTAACAAAATATGGTTTCAGTCTTCCTCCACAATATTCTGGCTTGGACAGAATTATCAAGCCATTTCAAGTAGATGTGATCCTAGATCTTGACACAGCACATCCTCAACTTATTGTCTCTGAGGATAGAAAAGCTGTGCGATATGGAAGAACAAAACCAAACATTTGTTATAACCCAAAGAGATTTTATGTCTGCCCTGCTGTCCTAGGCTCTCAACGATTTAGTTCTGGCCGACATTACTGGGAAGTAGAAGTGGGAAACAAACCTAAATGGATATTGGGTGTGTGTCAAGCCTGTCTTCTTAGGAACTGGCAGGATCAGCCATCAGTTCTGGGTGGATTCTGGGCAATTGGGCGATACATGAAGAGTGGTTATGTTGCGTCAGGTCCTAAGACAACCCAGCTTCTGCCAGTAGTAAAACCCAGTAAGATTGGTATTTTTCTGGACTATGAATTGGGCGATCTTTCCTTTTATAATATGAATGATAGATCTGTTCTCTATACTTTTAATGATTCTTTCACAGAAGCCCTTTGGCCTTATTTCTATACTGGAACAGATTCCGAACCTCTTAAAATCTGCTCAGTATCAGATTCTGAAAGATAAGGAATTGGTAAATGAGTCTGTTTCAGTTTTTGTAGGTAACTTAGCCAGTAAATTTAATCTCATTTCTGGAATCTTTTAAGTTTTACCACTGAAAACCAGAGTTGATTTTTCTCCTAAATTTTTGGCAACTATAAAAAGATGTTCATAATGCCACTTTCATATATTTAGTCTATGAATATCAATTGTCAAGTGCTTTGATTTCTAAGATAAAATATTTTAGAATTATGTTACTTAACATGTCTAATAAAATGTTTTCAAATTGCCTATAATTTTTTTTTTTAGTTAAGACAATTATTTAAACTTGCATACATTATATGAATATCATACTTGTCACATACCTTTCTTTTTAGTGGATTCTTCTGTTTACCTCCATATTTCTCATAATTTGTTTCTGTTCTTTTGTGTGTGTCAGTTGAAACAATTGACTTATTTTTGTGGTTAATGAGGACTTCACTTTGTTTAAATCCTTTCCTCACATGTACTTACCTGTGCACAATCCATAACTAATCTCTAACAGCTCTTTTTCTCTTTCTGTGTATCACCTGCCAATCTACACCAACTACACTCGTGACTACTTCCAGGCACTACCATTCTAGGAATTGACCTGTACTCTTAGCTTCTTTCTTGGTTTAAGCCTCTGTTTTCCTCTTTGTCTTTTCATTTTGGGGTATCATCAACCCAAATGTTGCAGCATTGTAAAGTTTGTCAGACTACAAATTTGCAAATGACTTTTCCCACATTTGGGTGGCAGTTAAAGAGAATATTTGGAATCATTTAATTTTTAAAACTTGATGGTTTTGACAAGTCTGATATCAGTCTGATTCTTGATGCTTGGATGCCACTGTTTTTCATAATCCTTTAAGATCTTTTGTAGCCCTAGTGTTTGAACTTTGTTTATTTTACTGACTAATCAAAGCTTAGTTTAGTATCCCTTTTCCAAAATGCTTGGAACCAGAAGTGTTTCAGCTTTCAGATTTTTGGGGGGGATTTTGGAATATTTGCTTATGCACGATGAGATATCTTGGGGATGGGACACAATTTGAAAGAAAAAATTCATTTTATACACACAGCCTGCAGGTAATTACATGAAACAAAGTTTGTGTACATTGAACCCTCAGAAAGCAAAAGTGTCGGCTCTGGAATTTTCCACTTGGGTGTCATGGCAGCACTCAGTGTTTCAGGTTATGGAGCATTTTGGATTTTATGTTTTTTGATTAGGGATGCTGAACATCTGCCTTCAATTTGGAATTGTATTAGATGAGCAAAACAAAGGTTTCCATCCTTAAGCAGCAGACTTCCTGGAGGGGAGAAAGGAAACAATAAAATAGTAAACACAGAGAATTGCTGTAGTGTGTTAGATGCTGACCAGATACTGTGATGACAGGGAAAAGCAGGTCAATGTCACCTGTATGAGAGTGCTGTGCATGAGGGAGAGTTAGCTATGTGAGGTGGGTGGTCAGGGTAGGTATCTTGGAGAATGTGGAATCTGAGCAAACATTTGAGTTGAGGGAATAGGCTTGGAAATAGATCCTCATCAAATTTCATTTCAGAGTGCATGGCTTGAGAAGGTGTATGGGGAAGGGACTGTCAAGCTGTAATAATAGCAAGGAAGCCGGCGACAAGTAGTGAGTAAAGAAAAATACTGGAGTAAGGTCAGAGAGGTAGTATATTTCTCTCTTTTGATCTTGGGGTTTCTCCAGAGAGTGGCTATACCCTCCAGCCCTGCCCTGCCCTGCCCCAACTCCAGGGGATTTGGTAGTGGATATTTACAGGGTGCCTTTGATGGGATATTTCTTTATCCTGGTGGATGGCCTAATGCCTGAGTATCCAATCTGTGACCAGGAGTCCCTCTCACAGGAAACTTGTTTATACTGACAAACACCCTGTGGCTCTTGTTGGACCTCTTTCCAGCTTATTCATGCCAAGACAGCCACTCTGTAGGAGAGCCCTGACCAGGGGAAAAGTTAAGTCCATGTGTTAGTAGAGTTTGACATAGAGGAGGCAATGCAACAAAAACACATTAAATAACAGAAACAGTTTTATTACAGGTCCATGAGAGAAGACGGTACTGTTGAGGGCTGATGAGAAGGCTGCAGGGGCAGTGCTGCTCACCTAGCGGTTGAGGAGCCAGAGAGAGAGAGACCAATGGGCCAAGGCCTTTAATGGAGTCCAGTGCATTTCCCAAGGGGCATTCTAGTTGGTGGATTTGGGGTAAGCAGGCATGAGTTTTGTGGGATTACACTGTATGAGCGGTAGTCCTTGCAGCAAATGTATAGCGTCCCCTGTGGGGTGTGCAGGTCAGTGGGGTGAGTCAAGTAGGTTTTATCTACATGTCCCATTAGGGAGGTGGCCACCAGGAGGCTATTGGTTTTTTTTTTGTTTTTTGTTTTTTGTTTTTTTTGAGGCGGAGTCTTGCTCTGTCACCCAGGCTGGAGTGCAGTGGCACTATCTCAGCTCACTGCAAGCTCCGCCTCCTGGGTTCATGCCATTCTCCTGCCTCAGCCTCCCGAGTAGCTGGGACTACAGGCGCCCGCCACCTCGCCCGGCTAGTTTTTTTGTATTTTTAGAGTAGAGATGGGGTTTCACCGTTTTAGCCAGGATGGTCTCGATCTCCTGACCTCGTGATCCACCCATCTCGGCCTCCCAAAGTGCTGGGATTACAGGCTTGAGCCACCGCGCCCGGCCCAGGAGGTTATTGTATAAGGCAGATACCCGGATCAAATACGTTGAGGAACAGAAGTAGAGAACTGGTAACAGTGTTAAGGGCAACCAAGCCCTGTTTCTGATATGAGAAAGTTAAATCCTTATTAAAAGTGGATGTTTACAGCTCAGGAAGGCAAAAAATTTAAACAAACAAAAAAAAATGCTGAAGGCTGGACAGAGGGGCTTACACCTGTAATCCCAGCACTATGGGAGGTCACTTGAGCCCAGGAGTTTGAGACCAACCTGAACAACATAGTGGGATGCTACCTCTACAAAACATGTTAAAATTCAGCCAGGCATGGTGGTGAGTACCTGTTGTCCCGGCTACTTGGGAGGCTGAGGCAGGAGGATCACTTAAGCCCAGGAGGCCGAGGCGGTGGTGAACTATAATTGTGCCACTGCACTCCAGCCTGGGTGACAGAGCGAAACCCTGTCTCAAAAAAGAAAAAAGGAAAAAAATCATAGGAAAAATATATTTACTATTCATTAAGTGGAAGTAGATCATAAAGGTCTACATCCTCGTCATCTTCACGTTGAGTAGGCTGAGGAAGAAAAGGAGAAGTTGGTCTCAGGTAGCAGAGGCAGAATAAAATCTGTATAAGTAGATCTGCTCAGCTTGTACCCATGTTGTTCAAGAGTCAACTGTACACTACATCATCTATGAATTATTCTTGTCAAGAAAAAAGTTAAATCTGAATTTAGCAAGCCTTTATAACTCAGTTTACAGAAAATATGGAGGTCAAGGAATAAGTTAAGTGACAGGAAATGACACAGAAATGTGTGAAATAATACAGGACAGTTACCTACTCTACTCAACAAGGCAATGATTTTTTTTAGTTGAAACCAATAAAATTTCTAAATGTAAAACACAAAACTTCTTTCAATCCAGATTTGAACAAACCAACTTTAAAAAGACATTTTATTGGCCGGGCGCGGTGGTTCATGCAAAAAGAGCGAAACTCCGTCTCAAAAAAGAAAAAAAAGACATTTTATTTTATTTTAATGTTTTTGAGATGGAGTCTTGCTCTGTCACCCAGGCTGGAGTGCAATGGCACAATCTAGGATCGCTGCAACCTCTGCCTCCCAGGCTCAAGTGATTCTCCTGCCTCAGCCTCCCAAGTAGCTGGGAAGACAGGCATGTGCCACCACACCCAGCTAATTTTTGTATTTTTAGTAGAGATGGGGTTTCACCATGTTGTCCAGGCTGGTCTTGAACTCCCGACCTCAGGTGATCCACCCACCTCTGCCTCCTAAAGTGCTGGGATTACAGGCGTAAGCCATGGCACCTGGCCAAAAAGACATTTTATAAGGCACTTGGGGAATTTTCAATACATATTAAGAATAAAATAATACCAAGGAGGAAGCATTGCTTGTTTTGTTAAATATAATAAAGGTTATCTAAGATTATACCCATATTTGTTGGAGTGGGTACTTCCCCCTCAATGACAGCATTTAAAAGGAGGAGAAAACAGGAATTAGTGAAATCCTGATGAATGTTGAATGCTGATTGATGGAAATATGGGATTATTTGATTATGTATTTATTTTGATTTTATTTATTTATTTTGAGATGGAGTCTCACTCTGTCCCCAGGCTGGAGTGCAGTGGTGCGATCTCGGCTCACCACAACTTCCACCTCCCAGGTGCAAGTGATTCTCCTGCCTCAGTCTCCTGAGTAGCTGGGATTACAGACATTGACCACCACCCCCGGCTAATTTTGTATTTTTAGTAGAGACGGAGTTTCTCCATGTTGATCAGGCTGATCTCAAACTCCCAATCTTAGGTGATCCACCCACCTCAGCCTCCCAAAATGTTGGGATTACAGGCATGAGCCACCAGGCCCAGTGCCTGGAGACATTTCTTTTTTTTTTTTTTATACTTTGAGTTCTAGGGTACATGTGCATAACGTGCAGGTTTGTTACATATGTATACTTGTGCCATGTTGGTGTGCTGCACCCATCAACTCGTCAGCACCCATCAACTCGTCATTTACATCAGGTATAACTCCCAGTGCAATCCCTCCCCCCTCCCCCGCCTGGAGACATTTCTACTGTTACCTTACCACTGAGGTAAAGTATCTCCATGATTACCTCCAGTATCTCCATGATTACCTTCATCTACCCCCGAGAGATTGGGCCTGCCACTCCACGCGGCAGCTGTCTGGAGACTGGCAGGCCTTGGCCTGAAGGTCTGTAGGGTGAGTGACCTGCAAGACTCACAAGAGGGCAAGTGGACAGAGATACCTACCGATGGAGTGTTGTGCCCTCTGGTGCCAACAAGAAAGCTGAGGCTGGGGCTGGGTCAAAAACTGAATTCCAGTTTACAGGCAGATTTGGTCATGGACGCGGTCAGCCACCTCGGTAAAACTGGAGAAGATTATTTTGAAATGAATAAATTTACAGCCAAAAAGAAAAAAGAAAAGGAGATCTTGTCATTTGTGACAACATGGGTGGACCTGGAGGACATTATGCTGAATGAAATAAACCAGAAACAGAAATAAAGCTATGGCAGCTGGGCGTGGTGCCTCACGCCTGTACAAAAACATAGAAAAAATTAGCCGGGTATGG